TGGAGTTATTATTTGTCCTCTCTGAATGTGACCCACTCTGATCTTAGACTTGCAAAGCTGGTATCCAGACTGAACCCAGAATGAATATGCGGCCTGCGACAGGGTAGCAGGGGATCACACCCTCCATCCACAGTCTTAACATGTACTGGTAATTGACTACAGCCTTGAAATCTCATTCTAGGCCCTTTCGTGACCCATCAGTGAGATTCAGAATGGGAGAACACCTTCTGCCACTGCAGCCATGGCTCTGGGTGACTCGGCTAGCCTCTAACAGGCTGGTAAATGTTTATAATGGCAAAAGCTACACTAAGTATGATTTCAGGAAATGGAAAGCCAGCTTACATTGCTCCAAATCAAGGTTGTTTCCCAAGTACAGTTATCTGTCTATTCATAATAATGTATACCAAAAATAGAACAAGAGCAGTCATCATGTCATTTTCTAAATATTGCTTTGCACATGTTCCAGCATCTAGTGATGGCATTGAACTCCTGTGTACATCAAGGAGCAACATACTTACAGGCTCGAGATCCTTTGTAAATAACTGAGCCAGGTCCACAAGACAGATGCTTAAGCCAGGCCGTTGAAAACAATGTTCATGGGACTTCCAGCCAACGTGGAGGGGTAGGTAGACACATTGTGCCTCCTCACACAACCAAAAGAGGGACAATAACAAATTTAAAAACAGAAAACAACCAGAACTGACAGAAAATCGAACTGTATGGAAGTCCAAAACCAAGGAGTTAAAGAAGAAACATTCATCCAGACCAGTAGGAGGGGTGGAGACAGGCAGCAGCTGGAGGACTGGGGCAGGCTAGGCAGCAGCTGGCGGAGCGGGTGTTCCCACATCCGCGTGTGGAAAAACTGGGAGGAGCAACTGGGGAGCGAGACAGACCATGCGACCCAGGGCTCCAGCTTGGGGAAATAAAGCCTCAAAGCCTCTGACTGAAAACACCTGTGGGGGTTGAGGTGGCAGCAGGAGAAACTCCCAGCTTTACAGGAATTTGTTGGAAAGACCCACAAGGTCCTAGAACATACACAAACCCACCCAACCAGGAATCAGCACCAGAAGGGCCCACATTGCTTGTGGGAAGTGGGGCAAGTGACTGAAAACCAGCAGAGAGCAGAGCAAGTGGTTGTTCCCTCTTGGCTTACATACATCATCATAACGCAGCAACGTGGGTTGCCCCGCCCTGGTGAACACCTAAGGCTCTGCCCCTTACTACGTAACAGGTGTGCCAAGACAAAAACCAAACAAACAAAAAAAGGCCCAAAGGAAAGAACAGATCAAAGCTCCAGAAAAAATACAACTAAGCAATGAAGAGATAGCCAACCTATCAGATGCACAGTTCAAAACACTCGCAATCAGGATGCTCACAGAGTTGGTTAAGTATGGTCACAAAATAGAGGAAAAAGTGAAGTCTATAAAAAGGGAAATAAAGGAAAACGTGCAGGGAACCAATAGTGACGGGGAAAAAAAGGGATTCAAATCAACGGTTTGGAGCAGAAGGAAGAAAGAAACATTCAACCACAACAGAATGAAGAAACAAGAATTCAAAAAATGAGGAGAGACTTAGGAACCTCCAGGACATCTTTAAATGTTCCAACATCTGAACCATAGGGGTTCCAGAAGGAGAAGAGGAAGAGCAAGAAATAGAAAACTTATTTGAAAAAATGAAGAACTTCCCCAATCTGGCAAAGGAAATAGACTTCTAGGAAGTCCAGGAAGCTCATAAAGTCCCAAAGAAGTTGGACCCAACGAGGAACACACCAAGGTGCATCATAATTACATTTCCCAAGATTAAAATAAGGAATCTTAAAAGCAGCAAGAGAAAAGGAGACAGTCACCTACAAAAGAGTTCCCATTAAGACTACTAGCTGATTTCTCAAAAGAGACCTTACAGGCAAGAAAGGGCTGGAAAGAAGAAAAGGCAAGGACCTACATCTACGATCGGTCTATCCAGCAAAGTTTTCATTTAGAATAGAAGCGCAGATAAAGTGCTTCCCAGATAAGGTCAAGTTAAAGGAGTTTATCATCACCAAGCCCTTAATTATATGAAATATTAAAGGGACTTATCTAAGAAAAAGAAAAAATATGAATAGTAAAATGAAAACCAACTCATAGTTATTAACAACCGAACCTAAAAACAAAAACAAACTAAGCAAACAACTAGCACAGGAACAGAATCACAGAAATGGAGATCACATGGAGGGTTATCGGTAGAGGACTGGGAGGGGGACAGAGCGGGAAAAGGTAGAAGAGAATAAGTAGCATAAATGGTAGGTAGAAAATAGACAGAAGGAGGTTAAGAATAGTATGGGAAATGTAGAAATCAAAGAACTTACATGCACAACCCATGGACATGAACTAAAGGAGGGGAATGCAGGTGGGAGGCTGTGTGCAGGACAGAGGGGACTAAAGGGGGGAAAAATGGGACAACTGTGATAGCATAATCAATAAAATATATTTAAAAAATGTTCATGAAGTGTGTGCCCTGGTAGGGTAAAAACTTTGTGAGTCAAGTGGAAATTTAGAATATAAACTTGTATTTTAAAACTACTATTTTTTAAATATATATAAAAGTGCTGTGTATAGAAAAATAAAATAGGAATAAAATGTACTAGGGGTAACAGAAGAATTTGGATGAAGGGTTCTAACCTTTTTACATTTACTTTTTGTTTTGCCCAAATGTTCTGTGAATCTTTATTACTTTAATGGTGAAATATAGAATACATTCTCATTTTCTAAGTTACTCTCTGAAGAAGTATATGAAACCAAGAAGTATGAAAAAGGACTTCTTGATTGTCTTAAGTAATTTTCTTACATGTTGCAAACAATAAAGGAGAAACCACGATCAAGCAGGACCGAGGCAGCCTTGAAACGAGACAGCAGACTAACAGGACAGTCTCTGCGTATTAGTCTACTAATAGACGAACTGTGAGGGCAGTTCCCACCAGGCCTGCGGCCCAGAGTCTAGGGTGGGGTTGGCTGAACCTGCCCCACCTGTGTCCAGACATGTGGTGAGCAAAGGGCCTTTGAAAATCCCCAGTGTTGACCAAACCCTCCACCAACACAAGGGTTGCTGTCTTGGTGCAGTCAGGTGGGGTATTCTGTCTTCCGCAGCTGAGAACGAGTAGAAGATGGACACCAGAAAGGAAAGCCAGAAGAAAGTCTCTGAGTCTGACATTGCCAAAAGCACGGGGAAATTAAAGTGGCAAATCTGGCTCTGGGTGGAGGCCCTCAACCATTGTAGTTGCCTTTCAATGGAATGAGCCTTGTGGGGAACACTCCTGATTCCCCCTCCCCCTGCAATGTTGAAACAAGTAGCTTTGCCTTTTGTAACAGCTGTTTCAAATACCTGCAGTTTCTGGGACAGATTCTTGCCTCTACATCCAGATAATGTGCATTTGAAGTCTACTTCCAAAATTGAGTTCAGCGTAGCACAAACACCAACCTTTCTTGGTCACCTGCCCCTCCCACCTTTGAAATAAAACAAAGCTTCTTAGAAAATATGCTATAATAAACAAGTTGGTATCAATTTCTTTTTTAAGACATGGGTAATTGAAGGGCCCGTGGACATGGATAACACTGCGAAGAGTGACTATGGAAGTGGGAGGGTGGGCTGGATGGAGGGGGCGAAATACAGTACATCTGTAATAGCATAAACTACAAAAGAAAACACTGGGCAACTGGCTCATGCCTGTACCTACTTACATGAAGCTCCTATTACCTGTGGTTATATTTCCCAAGAAAAGAAATTGTAAAGGGCTGGCCCTGACTGGTGTGGCTCAGTGGGTTGGGCACTGTCCCACAGACCAGAGTCCCGAGTTCAGTTCCTGGTCAGGGCACATGCCTGGGTTGTGGGCCAGGTCCCCGGTTGGGGGCATGTGAGAGACCACTGATCAGTTTCTCATACATGAATGTTTCTCTCCCTCTTTCCCCTTTCTAAAAATAGTTTTAAAAATATTTATAAAAAGGCCAGATAGGCTTAATTTGACCCGCCTTGTGACCAGAAGTGTGACAACAGGGGGACGCCTTTGCAAATCCCTAATACCACCTCTACTGGCCACCTTTTCTTGCTTGCTATCCAATTTCCAGACTGTGAACAAGGAATGCAAACAGCGCCACCTGTGGGTGAAGTGTGGTTCCTTTATGCTTCCTGGCCCAAAATCAGCAGGAGGAAATGTCCTTATTTGGGGACAGAGGATGAGCGCCCTCAGAGGATGAGTGGAAAGGTGCAGAAGGCCTCCTGGGAGCATTATCAGAGCCAAGGGCATTAAACCAGAATGGAAACCATTAAGGAGTGTTTATGTGGTCTCATCTGAAATGGGGAGATTCTGAGATGAGAAATGCTATCAGTCAAATGCCAGGGGACAAAGCCTAATTCCTCATATTCTGGGGCACGGAATAGCACTGGGGCTTTTGCTTCTTGATGCCTGCCGGGAAAACACCCCCCCCTCGGGCTGATGGACAAGTGACCCGAGGAGCAAGGCAGGTCTGCACCACTTCCTTCTCTGCTCCAGACCAACAAAGCTTGGGCTTTTTGGAATCACATGGCTCTTTGTACCAGAATTTGATCTACTTGTCTAGGAGAATGTGAGGATCAGACAGGTGGGTGATGGGGCTGCGCTTGGCAGATGGAGGGACTCCTAAACACTGCTGCATCAACGTGCAAAGTGGCTGGGAGAAGCCTGGGCCCTGGGGCAGCCATGCTGTAGCTTGACCACAGCTCCACAGACCAGCCCCGGGGCACTGGCTGCCTCTCCGGATGCCCCACATGTCACCAGACTGGGACCATAAAGTGAAGTAGGGGAGACCTCCTGACACAGGTAAGTGTCCCTGAGCAAGATCCGGAGGCTGACCTTGGGCTATCATGCTATGCCCCAGACTGGATCCGGGGATCGAGAGGAAGGGGTCAAGACACTGATGCCAAGGACCAGACATTGTTCCTGTCCCTGAAGGGGGTGAGTGATGAAACACAATGTTTCTAGGGACAATGTGTATGGTGGTGCCTGTTTATTCTGTCTGGTCACAGCAAACCTCACACACCAGGATGACAGCCGAGCTGAGAGTGCCACGTGGCAACAAGCAGCTGGAGGAAACAGAAGACCGTCTCCCCTGCTGCACACGGCCACTCTGGGCGGAATGCGCGGACGCCCCACTGGCCTTCTCAGAGGCACCGAGGCCGCATTCCCATCTCCAGGTCCCAAGGACATCTCTAGAAGGCAATTCCCGTTTTGAACTTCCAACATCCTGGGTGCCGCTAGGAACCAAGCCCTGGTCCCAACAAGTCATTCCGAGTCCAGGCTCTGCCATGGAGCAGCCCCGGGGCCCTGGGGCTCAGGGCCGACGGTCCTTTCTGCGGAGCTTGTGCCCCACCTGGGATCCCCGCCGGGCGGCCTTCACTAGGCCTTTGAACTGTCCCTGCAGCTTCACCTTCTTCCTACAGGAGCAAGGAACAGAAAAGTCACATCTCACCGAGAACAGGCAGCCCCCTTTTCCCATAATGTCAGAAGATGGCCCCTGCACGACCAGCAGGGACAGGGGCGTGGGAGTGCTGCCCAGCACAGGGTGGCACGCAATCTGCATAGACAACACATTGCCCACCACATTTAAAAGGGCAATTCCAGTTAACTACACACGTAGGTACCAACTACATGAACTATTTAACTTTTTACAAGTTAAAAAGTAAATATAAAAAAACTGGAAGAGACGTGAGCAATCGAGTTGAGAGTTTAATGAGAACACAGGTCCCCGCCTCCCTGCCCCTACCCCGCCCAGCACCGTACCTGTGGTTGAGCTTGGTTCTGCTGAGGGGAATGTAGGCATAGGGGTCGAGCTGACCTTTCTTCTTCATGTCGCCCTTTGCTTTCTGCTCAGAGAAATGGAGTCCGCTAGGAGGGTGGGGTTCCCCTTCCGCCCATTCCCTGTTGACAGACCCCACATCCTTCCTGCCCTTCGTTCCCTGCCTTAGGTGGCACAATGACTTTCTGTGGCTCTGGAAGGCCAACCAACAAAGGCCTGGACTTTCAACACTCACAAGACCTCAGTGTGCTCCTAGTCTGGCTTCACAAAGGTGACTTTCCAAGACAGGGGTAGGCACAGCTTCCCACCCTTTCCTAGACACTCTGCCAGGAGACCCCTTGCCCCCATGGGCAGCTCTTACCTTGGCCTTGTATTCAGCCCCAGGTGTAGCCTTCTTGCCCACAGGGCGATGGATGCCAGAGCCTCCAGCTAGAGGGAGAACACCGAGGCCAACAGTCAGACAAAGCCAGCAGAGCCTCTTCCTGGGAGAAGGTGATGGGCACCTTCTCTCCGGAGAGCTGCTGGGGAGAGGGGTCCTGGCCAGGAATCTGGCTCTGTCCTCTAACAACCGAGGACAAAGACCTTTCTCAGAACGACTGTCCACTGACTTGAAAGACTACTGGGTTCCTCAGACTGACTCGAATCCAGAGACCTACCAGTGACCTCTGGGGGCATGTATTCTCCACTAACATAAACTTCCCTCCTCTCTTAAATGCTCAATCTGCCCCATTTGTTCTAGGAGAAAGAACACAGGCTTTGAAGTCTGACAGACCTGGGTTCAACTCCCAGCTCCAACATCAAGCAAGTGTCTTAACTTTCTGGAGCCCCTTAAGCCCACCTGTAGAATAAGGCACCATTCTCACTGTATATAATGAGGCTTTCTGTCATTCAGATTTCACACCGACACCGTGAGACAGAACCGCAGCTCTTATTCCACCATATAGATGTGAAAACTGTGTCTTAAAGAGATCAAGATATTTTCTTCAAGATCAGTGTCATGCCCAGCCTGCATGTCAACACAGTTGTGGATGGAATCCGACAGTACTGCCTCAGGAGGATTACATCACCTGGTTGTACCCAGTTGGTATCAGTCAGTCTTTGCTGATACCAACTGGGTGCAACCAGGTCATGTAACCTTGTGGCTTCACCTGCAACAAACCTTGCCTAATACAGGAGACAGAGAATAGAAATTCCAAAACAGAAGAGTGGAAGCCTCACCTTGGTACTGAGGGGGCATCTCCAGGTCCTCATCATCAGCCTCTTTCTGATACTTGAGCTTCTGGTGTTTTTTCTATAAAGAGGTAAGCAAAGTTCATGAACAAGGGGATGTGATCATCTTCACTAATAGTAACAGTACAAGCAGGCACAACCTGCATTAGCAGAAAAGGGCCTCTGCCAAGCACCTGATCACCTCCTTATAAATGAGGACACTAAGGCTCAGAGAGGGCAGGTCACTGTCCAAGACTACACAGCTAGGCAGTGCAGAAGCAAGCTTCCAGCTCGGGTCCCCACTGCTGAGCTTGTCTCGGCTGCTCCATTGCTCTGCCTCTCCATACTGAAGTCTTCCCATGGGGCCATAAGTGCCCATCTGGGTACCTTGACCTCAGCTGAGCCCCATTCTTCCTAGCAGGGTCAATGAGGTCCTCAGCCTCGTTGGAGAGAACGGTGTTACCAGTTCCTTGCTATACACAAACTCCACTCTGCCCTCTCCAGGAGTCAAACACTCACTGATCCCCTACTAAGTGTGAGACCTTGGGGTACCCATGGCACAGGACCAACTTCCTGTGGCCCAGGGGCTCTCAGGAAGATGGGAGACCCCTGCTCACACCAGCACAGGGGTCCCTCAACGATGCTGCCATCCCAGGAGCTGTGAGCACGAAGCAACGAGACAAGTCACCTCACCTGATTATATCCAACAGGAAGTGACTTAGCACTTAGTACATGCCAGCACCATGTTAGGGGCTCCAAGCAGGAGAGGTGGGTCTGGCAGCGGGCAGCTCAGACCCCCAGGATGTCTGAGTCTAGAGACTGACAACCAGGCCAGGCAGAGCAACACTATGCAGGAGGCCTCAGATCCAAGGGCTGGCTGCCATGCTGTGGTCTGTGCCATAATGCCCGGGAAGTCTCTTCAAACGACAGATTCCTGGAGCTTAAGTTGCCCAGGGATCCCCAGGCCGGGGGGCTTCTGACCCCTACTCTGAGGAACACTCACTGGCTTAAGCCAGGGAGAGTGGAGGGTGTGCTAGGCAAAGGGAACAGGCTGGAGCACACACAGGGTGTGTCTGGGAGACGGGGGCACTAGTTCCATTGGCTGTACCCCAGAAGAATGGACTCCTAGTGGAGACACAGAAACTGGCTAGAAATGGGACGCAGGCTGCATCAGAGAGTGACAGCTCAGCTTGTTCCTGGTTCAGCTGGCAGCTGCAGCTGTCACTTGTACCCTGGCATCTTGATAGTGCCATAACTGCAGGCAGAGGAGTGGGATTCAGCAACTGCCATGCATAAGAGCCCCTGGGGATCTCGATGGCAGGTGATAATCTGCCATGAGCCGACCCTGGAGGTTGGCTACCCCAGGTCCTTCTCCCGTGCCCAGAGATAAGGAGCCCCAGTCCTGCTGTGCTGAACCATGGGGCCATTGGGCGCGAGGGCTGTGGTCAGTTCCCACCTGCCAGCAGAAAAGCAGGCTGTGGCCAGAAAAAGATTTCCAGGAAAAATGCAGTAACAAGAACTTGGTATCACTAAGTACCACACACCTTACATATAAACCAGGATTTGTTTAGGCCTGAAGAAACAGACACTTAACAACCCCATGACCTTGGGCAGGATACATATCTTTTATGAGCCCCTCTGGAAGTGGGGATGGTAAGTCACCCCCATCTCCTGTAACTCGTGGGGCCCTCGGCACCCCTCAATGGTGGGTGCCCCCACCCCATGCAGCAGCTTGCCCCTTGGTGCCTGCAGGTCAGCTGTTGCCCTTGCAGCCTGCACAGCACTTGTCCTCACGGAGAGACAAGGGCTTTATCTCCTTCCTCTTCAGCCAGACAGCCCAGCCAACACCTAAGGAAGCCCCAGGTGCTTCTGAGAGAGCCTCGCCCCTCCCTCACCCTGCAGAGAGGTTAGCCATGACACAGGCCCTGCCCCCAGCACACACACCTACCATCCACAGACAGCCTGTGGTGCATGTCCCTGATGCTCTGTGGAGCAGTCGGGGAGCAGTGCAGGTGAGGTAGTGAGAAGCTGTTGGGCCTAAGGCTTAGGTCTGAGGGCCCCCAGCCCTCCATCGGCAGGAATTACTCACATTCCTGATGCCCAGGTCTTCCACCAGGTCAGCCATCTCTTCATCCTCCCCTGGAGCCAAAAGGAAGAACAGCTTGTGAGCACTCAGAGAGGCCTCATTTCCCCAAAGCCCCCCAAATTTCATCCTGCCTCCTCCTGGCTCATCAGGCTGAAGGTGCTGTGACCTCCAGCCCTGGAAATCCTGTGTCCGTCTGTGGGAGACAAGACCCCTGAACACTGAGTCTCCCCTCCCCATGCTCGGTCCCAGGGACAATAGCCCTTTCAAGAAGTGGGGATCCGCTTCTGAGGTAAATACAGCTTTCTTTGCAACTCTAAGAAAACCCCAGGTTTGCGGGGAGCCAGGCACTCCTGCAGCCCCAGACGCCACTGTGCTGGGAGTACTGCTTTACTCTCCTACCTGAGAACTTTTTGTTTGCCCTGTACATGCTGGGCATTCTGTGGGGATATTAAGAAAGTATGAATCAACAAATTCATTCTAAATTGAGAAACTGGACTGTATTAAAATTTAAAAGCTTCTGTGTGCCAAGGACACATCACCAGACTAAGAAGCCACTATGGAATGGGAGAAAATATTTGCAAATCATACATCTGGTAAAGGGCTAGGAGCTGAATATATAAAGAACCTCTACAACTCAATAACAGAAAAACACTCTAGTTAAAAAATGGGCAAAAGGACCTGAGCCGACATTTCTTCAAAAAGATACCCGAGTGTACAGGAAACATAAAAAAAATACTGACCAATCACAAATCACTAAGGAAACGCAAATCAAAACCGCCATGAGATACCACCTTACAACTATTAGCATGTCTACTACCAAAAAAAAACAGAAAATAAGTGTTGACGAGGATGCGGATAAACCAAAACCCATGCGTCCTGTGGGCGGGCACGGGACACCGTGCAGCTTTGGGGAGAACAGTGTGGTGGTTCCTCAAAAACCTCAGCACAGAATTCCGTGTTGTAATATGACCCAGCAACTTCACTTCTGGGCCTGGGCTCGACCCGAAAGTGGGATCTTGAAAAGATTATTTGTACATTCATGTCCACAGCAGCATTATTCACAGAGGTCAGAAAGTGGAAGCAACCCAAGAGCCCAACAGATGAGCGGATAACAAAGCGGTGCACACACACAACAGAGTAAGGCCAGCCTTAAACAGGAGGAAATTCTGACCCCTGCAACTGCCTGGGGGAACTCTGAGGGCACTAAGCCAAGTGAAGTAAGCCAGTCGCAGAAGGACAGGTACAGAATGATCCCACTTATATGACATACCTAGACTCAATTCACACTCAAATTCACAGACAGTAAGCAGAATGGTGGATGTCGGGGCTGGGGAAAGAGGACATCGGGAATTGTTCAATGAGTACAGAGCTTCAGTTTTGTAAAATGAAGAAGTTCTGGAGATTGGTTGTACATCAGTGTGAATATACTGAACACTGCTGAACTATACACTTAAAAATGGTTCAGATGGTAAATTTTACGTTACATGTATTTCACCATGATTTAAAAAAAAACTATCAGTATATTTTTAAAAAAGGATGAAATTGACCAATTCGAGGGAAGACAAACTCAAAGTCAATCAACAATCAGGTGACATCACAAGAGAGCGCGTGACTACCTGCTGAAGACTGGGCAGTCCCTGGACTTGCCAAAAATTCTGAGGGAACAAGGCTTTGGAGGCTGAAGGGCCGTGGAAAGGCCCCAAAGGACTGGAGCTGACTGTAAAGAGCGGGAGGTTTTCGGAAGGAAGGAGAGGCGGGGGGCATTTTAGCACAGGGCGACATGCACAAGAAGGGAGAGAGACGGGAATTACCGAGGGTGAGAGGGGAGCTGTGACGAGGCCACACCAGAAACTGCATCGCCACATTACCCCTGCTCGCACAGTGCTGCTCAGGTTACCCATGTCATCTCCACAGCTCCCCTCTGGGGCAGGTGTTGGTACTGCACCCATTTTGGTCCACAGTCAGAGTTCAAGGGGCAGGGGTAGTGGGAAAGCACTGTTTAGGAAGCTGCAGTGAGCCAAGGGTCCAGGGATGATGGCAGTGGGGGTGAAAAAAAGAAGGGGAAGACAGATCTACTGTAGAAGACCCAGGCTTTTATGAACTGACAGATGACGCGTGCAGAGGGAACAGGAAAGAGAACGCAGTACTCAGAGGTCTTACACCTGAGTGGCTCCCGGACCACAGAGTACAGTGGACTCAGAGACCTGGGAGTGTCCGAGTCCGCCTCTTTCTACCTCTCCACGAGATTCTGGGCCTCAGCCAAGTTCCCAATTTGGCAAAAAAAAAAAAAAAAAAAAAAGGAAGAGAAGAAACAGAAGACAATAGAGACCAACAGGGTATATCACACATGGTAAGGGGAAGTACTGTATTTTGAAAGTTTTGTTTGAATTATAGAATTGTATAAATGGCTGCGTTACAACATAAAAAGGTTTCTTAATGTAGTCAAAAAAGTCTGAGAAACTCAACAAGTTTGAGAACGCTGCTGTAGATACAAGCTGTTACTACCTCTGCTCCCACAACAAATGGACTGAATGAGTGAGTGAACAAATGGGCAAACGAAGGATGAACGACTGCTGCTGCACTCCCAGAGTAGACAGGTGCCCCCACCTTTAGTGCCTTCCTCTTCCTCCATCTTGGCGGTGGCAGCATCTTCTTCCTCCTCCCGGATGATCAGGCGGCCATCTGCGCTCACTTTGAAGCCATGGTCCTTCTTCTTGCCCCGCCCGGCCCCAGGCTGTGTGGCTGGCATGACAGAGCCGGGCAGTGAGGAGGTGGAAGGCCAGTCCTAACCCACTCAGACCTCATCGTAACCGACAAGACCAAGTCTGTGTCCTGGTGCCCACCTGCCTCTGTGGGAGCCACCGTCACCCCCACCCTGAATCTGGCACCCAGGCAAGCCTGTTTTCTGAGCTCATGGGCCACTACTTCTCACTTACCTAGGACTCGCTGGGCCACCTTGGGGTCCAGGAAATTGAGGGGCTCATCCCCACCACCCTCCTTCAGCCAGGCACGGCTCCTCTGCCCAGTCAGCCTCCGCTGCTCCTTGCCCCGGCTCCTTTCCTCCTCCTCATTTTCCTCGTCCTCGGAGTCGGCCAAAATCTCCTCGATGCTAAAGAGAGAAGCCCTGAGTCAGGGCACTCCCAGGACAGACGGAAGCAGTTGGACGCCGTCTTGGTAGGCTTCGGCTTAATGGGGACCAGATCACCAAGGCCCCATCTTAGGTCTCACCTGTCACCTTTGCCCTGGGTGGGCTCTTCCTTCTCCTCCTCCTCCTCCTCTTCCTCAGCAGTCTGGCTCAGAGCACGGTGCCTCTTGGCCCGGGCCTCAGCTTTTCGGACATTGGCCAGGACTTTGTGGTACTCCTCAGGCAGCAGCCCCTTCACCAGCTCGAACCTGAGGGGCAGTGAAGGGCAGGTGAGGTGCACTGGTCAGAGTGCACCACCCAGAAGTAGCAGGGGTGTAGCCAGTGCTCTTCTGGCCACAGGGGAGAGACTGGTCCCCCGGCCCATCCCCTACTCTGCAGGGTTCCTGGTGGGATGAAAACCCCTCAACTCCTCCCCTGACCATCCTCCCCCCATCCAGTGCACAGACCCAAACTTGCGGATGAACTTGGTGAACAGGTTCCGAAGCTTCATGCGGAAGTGCCGCCGCATGTCATCCGACAGCTTCCCGATGGCATCCATCTGCAGAACAAGGCACCAGGGGGTTAGGGGGAGGGTGCCCCCTACCCTGCATGCTCCTGCACTGCTGTCCAGAACAGGGACATGTAGGGACCAAGCTGGCTAAGAGGTGAGGGCAAGCATGGCCCTCTTCCTGGCTCAGCCCTTGGTCCACGTAGGTTCCCCAGTCTGGGCAGCCCCTACCTTTCCCCTAAACCCTCCTTTGTGATGATTCCTGACCACGATGCACAGATTGCAGCATTAGAGTCCTCACACGTACTGTCTCAGCGAATCCTTAGAAGAGCCCAGTGAGGCAGATATTATCATCACCCCCAATTTACAGACAAGAAAACTGGGGGACCAGAGGATTAAGTGGCTGCCAAGTGGCCACAGAGAAAGGAGTTAGCCCAGATCTACCTAATTCCATGGCCCATACTCTGTCCCCCCACCACCAGGTTTCTCTTGGTTTCACATGTCCCTTCTGCTGCCCTGAGTTAATTTCTGACTGGACTGCACTCAAGCCTTCATGTAGCCTGGCTTGGGAAACGCATGAGTGGCAAATATTATCTATAGTGTCTCATAACAGGGCCCCATCAATCCTTCAATGGGCTTTTATCGATTCTCATAACCCCAGAACAGCCACTGCTCTGGCTGTTCTTCCATCTTTGGTCTCCAGTTAGGCTGTGCAGGCTTTTGCAGGTTAGGGGCAGGCTACTCTGACTCTCACTTGCCCTTTCTGCCTAAACCCAAGGCCAGAAACACAGATGACAAGCAAGATCCCCCCTGGAGGTCTGATGCAACTCTACCCAGCAGGCAGGGGGAAACTGAGGCAGGGGACACTGCAGCAAGAGGGTCTGAAAGATGCTGCTTGCTGCATGCCTTAGGCCCAGCAGGAGGGGGCAAGGGGACCCAATACCAGAGGGCTCGGCAGGCCCTCCTGAAGCCCAGCAGGGGTATCCAGAGGAGCCTCCTCAAACTCAGATGGTCAGGATGCAAGAAGCAAAAAAGAAAAAAGAAAGAGAGAGAGATGAGGGCCCTACCGGGGAAGAGCTCAGTCTCACTCCTGAGTTTTGTGTTGTTCCCAGGGCTGCCGTCTCCAGCACTGTGACCTGGGGCAATCTCTGGCCTCAGTTTCCTCATCTACAGAATGAGGGATGGCCCTGTCCACTGGCCTCTGTCCTGTAGAGCCCTTGCTTCTGCGGAGGAGCCGAGGTGGGGGAGGACCAGCAGCAGCCTGGGCACTGTGCCCCTTCCTCCAGCAGGCCGGCCCTCCCCTAATGGTTCCTTCCAGGGCGCTGTTGTATAAGATAGTGTGCAGCTAAATAAAACTGTTTGAAACTTTCTGGCCTTGAGGTTCACTGGTTCCATGATGGCAGCCCAGAGGCCACATTGCCACCCACAGAAGGGAAAGGGGCCCTTACCACTAGCTGCACATGCTTGGCCAGATGTGCCACATCCATGACAACCACGGCCACCTTGATGAAGCCCAGTGCTGATTTGACCACGTCACGGGTGCGGGAGGCCAGGAGCAGGCACACGTTCTCCAGCAGCTGCTCCACCGTGCTGGTCCCCATCAGACCTGTGGTGACCAGAGGGCCACTGTCAGAGAGGCCCAGACCCCAACCAAGACCTGAGACCAGAGACCCTGCCGGGTCACAGAGTAAGAGCTAACACTGGAGACTTCTGTATGCCTGGTCCGGTCCTAGTCACTTTCCATGGAATGTCTCCTCTGGTCCTTCAGCTACCCCAGGAGGAGGTGCTACTTTTCTCCCCCATTTCAGAGGTTGAGTCAGGTTCCAAGAGGATCATAAACTTGCTGGTAAGAGGGAGAACCAGGACTGACAGTGGGTGGGAGACCCACCTCCTCTGACCCACTCGGAGAATGGGGAGCAGGGAGGGCTATGCTGGGCAGCAGAGAAGGAAGATGGCTGGGCTTAGTTCCAGCTTTTCTCCCACCCTCCCTTGACCTTTCCCCTATCTGGAAGCCACCCTGTCTTGACCTCCTAGGCATTGTCCTACTCTGAGGGCAGGCTTCCCAGGCCTTCAAGAAACAGCATTTACCTTTAAACTCGAAAAGGAGGTGGGTCAGGGCCAGGATACTGCAGCTGACCATGGTGACAGCGCCCACGAGCCCGGGGTAGATCAGGATGAGATAGCGCTGCAGGGCCTCTGGGAGGGCAAGAGGGCAGGACAAGCTGCACCGGGGCCAAGCCCAGCCCACACGCTGTGCCTTGGTCCCACCAGGGAGGGGGTGCTGGCCAGACAGTGCAGCCTGCCCAGGTCCAGAGCCAGTGGTTTTGCAGGGTGCTTCCCAGGCCTGGGAGCAGAGCATCCACCCCAGCCCTATGTCACCCAGGCCTCACCTTCCTGGCTCGGGCCAAACCGAAGGAAAGCGTGGCCCATCTCCACCAACAGGGCGAAGGCGTTTTTCCGAGCGCCCACTGACACCTCCTTTGTACACAGGATCACCTGCCCAGACAATCCCATGAGCTCATTCTCCTGAGCTGGCCACCCTGGGGTTTGTAGCCCGGGGCAGAATGGGCAGGTAAGGGGACCTCCTCTCCTGGGCAGTGAATCGAGTCCACCCTCAGCCCCAATACTGCCCTCCCCTGATCTCAACAAGCCTTTAGAAGCCATACTCCAAGGAACCCCCAATACACACATACACCCCTCTTCCGCCCCTAACCTCCGGCACAAGGGCAGTGATGAACTCCTCATGCTCAACAGTGAGTTTCTTCACGATATGTATAAGACACTTCAAACGGGGCTGCAGGACAGGGAGGACAATGATCAGGACCCCTTAAGGCCACCCCAGCCCCCGAAGCCTACAGAGCATCTCCACCACAGTCCTCTCCTGGTGTTGCCTGTTCTCTCTCGGACACAGCAAGGCTGCCCCTGGAGTCCTCACCCTCTTGGCAGGAGATGAAGTGGTTCGCAGCGAGTCCAGCAGGGTCTTCTTCAGGTCATCCAGGTGGCTCTGCACGAAGCGGGCCCCGGGGCCCTGGGGGCAGGCACACACTTCCTCCAGCACGCGGTAGGCCTTCTTCTGTACCCCATGGGCCTTGCTCTAAGAGGGTACACGGGGGGCAGAGGTGGGTGAAGAGGGTGGCTAGGGCTCCACCACCCATCTGACGACACTCACAGAGCAGTCACCACTAACGGAGGCCAGCACTGGAGGGGAATCAAAGAAGCTGGCCTTGACTCTGGAGCTCATGGGGTCTGACAAGAGGGCCATGAGTATGATGCTGAGAGGCAGATAACTCTGGCCCTGGCTAGTGTGGCTCAGCGGGCTGAGCTCCAGTTAACGAACCAGAAGGTGGTTAGTTCGGTTACAATCATGCCTGGGTTGCAGGCCAGGCCCCCAGTTGGGGGAGTGCAAGAGGAAACCGATCGATGCTTCTCTCCATCTTCCTCCTTCCCTCCTTTCTCTCCAAAAAAATTAAATCTTTAAAAAAACTTTTTTTTAAAAAGAGGCTAAGTCTGTGCCACATGGAGATGCTGTAGGGAGAGAAGCCCGCCCAGCCTTCTAATCACTCCACTGACCCACCTCTAAGAAACACCCACACTAGCAGCACGGACTCGCAGTGCCTGGAATGCACCAGGCCTGTTGTGCCTGCTCATCTTTCTACTGTCTCCTCTTCTTTGCCTAGCCCCTTACTGTTCCAAAAGTGCTCTGTCACTCCCCTGGGACACCTCTCCTGAGGTTAGGTGGCGCTGCCCTGGACTTCTGGGTCTGCCTGCATGTTCCACCCCAGAGCACTTCTCACTGCTGAGCAACTGCTTATTAAACTGTCGCAGTGGTGACAGCTTTCAGAGGGTCACCACTGGCCTGAGTTTTGCCTGGTGACTAGCCACAGCATATCGGCAGAGGACCCAGCATATGCAAAGGCACAGAAGAGGCCCATTATATCTGGAACTCGTTGAAACAGTTTAATGAGGCCGGAGTGGTGGCAGGGGATGAGGGGGACCGGGTGGTGGGAGTAAGTAGACAGAAGAGCAACCTGGGCTGGGACGGCCCAGTGAGCAATCCAGGCAAAAGGGGATGGCCTCATTTCTACGGGAGATGCCTTGGCAGGTGAGGCCTGAGCACGGCTGCACATTTTAGTCACTTTGGCATCAATGTGACAGACAGGCTAGAGAAAGCACAAAAGGCAGCCACAACACAAGAAAGCAGATGAAGACCTGATCTTGGGCCTCAGCAAGGGATGAAGGAAAGAAGACAGGCCCCACCCTGCCAAGGCGCCCACTCCTCCCCCAGGTGCGGTTGCATGGGGTGCCCAGACCCAGGGCTCACCTCTAGGTAGGGTCGGATGGTGGAGTACAGCTTGCTGATGGCAAATTCGTCAGCGTGAGGGGCCAAGGCCACGACCAGGTCCAAGACAGACAATCTGCACAAGGCCAGGAGACCAAGGAGGAGCTTAGTGAGGGCTGGAGGAGGGCACAGACTAACAGTGTCTTTACGTCTACTGTGTGAGGAGGGACAAGTGGGAGAAGTCAGGATGAGGAGGACAGGGAGCCTCCAAGGAGCCTGTGGACGATCACCATAGCCTGCAGCTAACTGAGCATCCATCAGGTACCAGGCATTGCTCCGGGAGCTTCACCTGTGTTACCCCCTTCACTTCTCACAGCAACCCTGCTGGCAGGCACTATGAGCATGTCCATTGTACAGACTGAAGACACGAAGGAAAAGAGAAGGCCAAGGCCTAGGCCTTGTCCAAGGCCACACAGCCTGTGGGATCTGAGCCCAGACAGTGAGTCTCCAGGGCCCTCGTCCTTCCCTAGAAGGCTGCACTGCCGCTTCAGGAAGGAGCTGGTCATGCCTCACAGGAGAGCTGGAGCACTCAGTATCTGAAGCCTTTCCTAAATTATTCCAGAGAGAACCCACAGGCTTCTGCCAGACACACCCTCTAGCTTCCTGTGCTGCCCCAGTGCAAGTAGGGCACTTTACCTGGTGAAGTCAGAGCTGGCAGGGTCGAGCACCTTCTCGCTGGCCTTTTCCAGGAAACCATTCACCAGCTGGCAGCCCCAAGGGAAAAGGAAGGCATTGTTGAAGGGAGAAACAGAGAGTACAGCAGGTCACAGAGCTGTACCTCCTCCCCGTCCCGCTTAGAAGCCTCAAGCCCAAGCCCAGCCCAACTGCCACCAACAGCATCTGGTTTCCTGTTCTCCACATGGCACACGCCCAAGTGAGCCCTGGTGAGTAGGGCCTGGGCCTTTCTAGTACACCCAACCCCAACCCTCGCCACCTAAGAGCATTCCCCCCACCCCCGGTTCACCAGCTCACCTGAGGCTGGGTAATGGTGAGGTAAGTTTTGATGGTTTCTAGCACAGCCCGGCGAGGGGCTGGGGTGTCCCCAGCTGCCACAGGCTGCCCATACAGATTGAAGAGAATGGGCAGGAAGTTCTTGGCAAAACGGCTCACTTCGGCACGGTCAGCCTCTGGCAGCAAGAGCAAAGATCAAATGAGAGGAGCAGGAGATGACCCCGTAGGCTGCAGCCCAGAGGCACCCTTTTGGAGGACCCACGGCAACACCACGGACGTGGGCTTTACAGGACTGGAGAAGCTGAGGCCAGGGCAGAGAGAACTGGGTGCCACCATGGGCTCTGCTCCCACCTCGTTCCCATCCTGGCAACAGTGAAACCCTTCCATGCTGACTGAATAACTCCCTAGCTGTCAGCGCACTAGGAGTAAAGAGAGGAAGGGGCAGTTGTTGGCATCCTTGGGTCCCCAGCAGGAGCCCCGGGTCCTTGCAAAGAATAAACTGTGGCTCGGACAACGAGCCTTAGCAGGCCAGGAGATGGGGCAAGGGGACTCACGCCATGGCAGCCATCCTCCTTCCAGCCCCTGGCCCCCCAGCCCACACGTACCTGCCTCACAGCCCTTGGTGATGAGAGTGCGCAGGGCCTGGCACACCGTGGCCCTCAGGTCTGGGCGCTCGCTGAGGGCTGTGCCCAGAGTCCGCGCCAGCCCTTTAAAGGAGACGGCCACATCTATGGGCCTCGTGCAGAACCCAGGCAGGAGGGTCCAGATCTGGGGAGGGAGAGGACGGTAAGGGAGAATGACATCCAGAAACCCACGGGCCTGCACTGCCCAACCCACATCCCTGCAAGTGACCCCTCACCTGCCACTGCAGCGTGTCATAGATCTTGGACTCCACCACGCTGCCCTCCTGGGCCAGGTCCATTGCTGGAGTGTGACAGAGGACACAATGTGACCTGGGGCATCCTCCTAGCCACCAGGCCTTACTTTCACCCAAACCAAAAGCCCAGTGATGAAGACAATTATCGGTGATTCCCTCCTCCCCATTGAAACTGTTCCTTCTAAAAACTGCAAAAGACCTGCACAAAACAGAAAGCACTGTCTCCCCATAACCACACTCCCCCAGGGAAAGCCACCATCTCTTCTGACCTGCAATGCTTTCAACAAACTCACACTTTAAAAAAAATAAACAGGACCGTACTATACATGTATTGTTCTGAAACCTTGTTTTACTTGACAACTAAAATTAAGTTGATAATATTTACAGAACAATTTCTATGTACCAGGCTGCATAATAAGCCCTCTGATGATTATTTCGTTTAATTCTCATGCAGTAATTATCATTCTCATTTTACAGACGAGGAGCAGACCCAAAGGAATTGAATAAACTTGCCTACAGTCAACAATCTGGAGTGGCTGAGCTGAGACTTGAATCTAGTCTGTTCAACTCACCCTCTCCCGAACACGCCCCCGTAAGGCCTCTCTCTGTGACGGCCACACTGCGTTCCATAGTGGGCTTCACTGAAACCCGCTGACGGATGTGGGGTCATGCTAGCATTTTTGCTCCGAACATCTCTGCATACATGTAAACTGCTGTGTGTGTGCACGATTACTTCTTAGTGGGAGAGGGGGCTGGTGTCTGCCTGCCACAGGCAGGGGGAGGGACAGCCCCACTGAGGCTCTCAAGCACTGGCTGGACATCTGTTTGGCAGAGGGAGGTTGCCGAATGTCCTAGGACTGGGGCGCTGGACCAGGAGCCTTTCCTGACTCCTTCCAGCTGAGCCCGAGGACTGTGGTGGGCCCCATACCTTTGCTCTTCAGGGTGGTAGCCAATGGCAGGAAGTAGGTGGTGAAGAAACCAAGTCGAGTTTCCCGAACGTGGTCCCGGATGACGGGCAGCAGCCAGCTCCGTGGGAAATCCAGCGTCTCTCTGGGAGGAGGCAGGACAGGCCCAGTGGGGAGGAGGCGACGCCCCGGAGGGCACACACCCAGCAGCGCACCCTTCCCCTGCTGAGCTGAGGAGCAGGTCGAGCTCTGCTCTGGACTCTCTCGCTGACCCCCCCGCCGTGGCACATGGAGACTTCGCCCAAAGGAGTGAATACCCTCCTGGGGGAGAAAAAGCCATCTCACCCCCTTGGGCTTGTACGCAAGCCAACCAGGGTCACACTTACTCAGAGCCATCAATTTCCAGAGGCACAGCCTGTAAAACCACCTCAGGCCCCATGCTGACCACCGCAGCCCCCACTGCCTTATCCAGAGCTGCCGTGTGGGGGAAATGAGGGGAGAGGCGCAGGTCACACAGGGACTGGAGACACTGGAGCAGAGAGATGAGATTATATATCAAGATGCGCTTACAGAGCGAGCACCCACGGCTGAATCTGAGCCAAAAGCTCAGGATGATGAGGTCAGGAGCGTGGGCCCAAGTTAAGCTCTGGGTCAGAGGTCACAAACCAGTAACCGAATGTAACCCGCTGATGTGTTCTACCCCTCCCCAATGCCCCAGGATTTAAAAAGAAAAATTCTGTACTCCTTAGTACATATATAAATCAGGAGACTACATACAAATGCAGGTTTCTACTTTATCGTCCGGCGAAGGCAGATCTGTGTGTGATGGGTAGCGAATGGACAGTGTGCACTGAGGAGCGGCTGCCTGCTGAGAGCTGTACCCTCTGGTTCAGCACAGTACCCAGACCCCCTCCCCGAGCTTCACTCCTTATGCACCTCTCCTAGAAAGCCAAGTCTGCCATCCACACCTACTAGAGCCCAGGTCCGGCCCCCCAAGGGAGCCTGCCATCCCAGGTGGAGGGAGGGGGTAGGTCAGCGAGGAAGGTGCCACAGGGCCTATGGATGAGACGTTTGGGGTCTGTCCTCAGGTCCCACCCTCTCCCTAAGCTGATCCCTGATCCTCAGATGGTTCATTCTGGGTTGCAGTCACCTCCCTGACACCTACAGCTGATCGAAACAAACACCCATTCATTACAGAAAATTTAGATAATTAAAAATGAGAAGATCCAGGTTGGGGTGACAGAATCATACTGGTTCCCTATTCAAAACCATCAACTCCACTCAACGCTAGTGAGAGATGGTGGGGAGGGGATCCTGCCCCCTGCCTGCTCCTTCCAGGACGGCCCGGTCACCTTCCCGGAGACACAGTACTGGGCACCTGCTATGAGCACTGCGGCGGTAGGCAGAGTCGAAGGGCACAGATAACACAGACAAGGGCCCCTTCTAAGAGCCCACAGTCCCAAAGTCCAAGTGCCACTTCCTGCCCTGGCCCCAGCAGCCCCCTAACTCACCTTCTTCATCACAGGATGGGCCTGCCTCCCAGACGCCTCGAAGAAGACACACAGAAGCTGTAACACGGAGCTCCAGGCTGCATGGAATTTGTACGTCAGGCCCTCCTCCACTGCCCTGCCAAGGGAGCAGGTGGTCAAGGCCATGGCCGTGGCCCGAATCCAACCAGGAAGTCAATGCTGCCACCGTGAGCTATGGACTGCCAGCCGGTCACTACGGGCAGGGCCCCAGGAAAGGCCAAGGGGCGAACTGACATTTCTGGAGTGCCCACACTGCTCCCCATACTAAGAGTTTAAGTTTAATTTATGTAACCCTCACACTTAAAGAAAAACATGTAAGGTAGGTTATTGGTTCAATCTTCAAATGGTGAAACTCAGAGATGAACTAACCCGCCAGGGTATCTGCTCTGTCACTGTCCCAGGCTCTCTTGGCCTGATCCAACGTGGGAAGGCAGAGTAAGAACAGGTAGTCTAAGCAGAACGGGGAAGCTGCACTAGCGATGGCTGGCCCAGCTGCCGGCCCTGTCCAGCATGTGCACACCCTGGTCTACTCCATCTCCCCAAATCTAGCCCCCTGGAGACTTCAGGCAAGAATGGCCAATAGGGGCCAGTGTGGGGAAAGGGATGGGCTGGGGACGGTGCAGCTCTATTCCTGTTTTCCTGAAACTTCACTCCAGATGTGTCCATAGGAAACGGGCCCATTTCCTCATGAGGCGCAGTACTAAAAGCACCACACCTTGGAGCTGAGCAGAGAGACCCAGCAGAGGTACCAAGGATCCTAGCCTCTTTCTTGGGACCACTCGGTTGGTGCTCCAAGGCTCCACAACGCCCACCAGGAGGGTGAGGATGGTCAGTGGCCGTGTTCATGAACGGCTCCTCTCGGAGGTGTGGAGAGCACATCACCACATGACTAACAGTGGGCTTTGTGGCCAGGCTGCCACTTACTAGCTGGGTGACCTCAGCTTGTCCGTGCATAAAATGGGGTCAACTCCTATCTCCTAGAACCAGGACTAATACTAGTAGTCCTAAGCGCTCCACTATTGGGCATCTCACTATGTACCAGGTACTATTCTGAGCACTTTACACATAGTTACCTCATTTAATCCTCACCTGTGTTAGTCCCCCAGCCCTTTAAAAAAAAGGGCGGGGGGGCTTATTTATTTATTTTTAGAGAGAGGGGAGGAGGGAGAAAGACAGGGAAAGAAATATCAGTGTTGCTTCTCACATGTTCCCTGCTGAGGATCTGGTCTACAATCCAGGCATGTTCCCTGACTGGAAATCGAAATGGCAACCCTTCAGTTCACACGGCAGCACTCAACCCACTGAGCCACACCGGCCAGGGCTGCGTTAGTCCCTTTTAACTGACGATGACCCTGAGGTATTGAGGTAGAGGAATGTGCCCTAGGTGACTGGCCTGATGGTCCACTCTCAGGAGCACCACACTCTGGCACCTGGTGCGTGGCCGGTGCTCGAATCACAGAAGCCACCCTGGCACTGTGTGCACGGCCCAGAGGAACTGACGAGCAGAGACTTCTCAGTGTGAGGAACCTTCTACAAGGTACACCTTATGCCTTCTAATCTTAGACGTTATGTTCTCACCTGAACATCTTGGCGACACACTGGGCAGGGCCTGAGGCTGAGGAGGTCACAGAGCCGATATCAGCCATGTGGGGAGCAACGCATTCCTTCAGGATCTCCTGCAAAGAGGCCACAGCTGTCTGGACCTAAGGTTTTGGGAAGCCTACCTCACCCAAGAACCTCCTCCCAAGATGCAGCTGGAGGCAGCCAGCAGGAACTCCTACGCTCTCTGCTCCTCCCACTAAAGCTGGGGCTTGGGGTGGGGGGGCCGAGGTACCTGGAGGCTCTGGGTGGCCGCTGCCACCACCTGAGAGTGGGGAGAGAGGAGGCAGGTCGTCGCAGTTCCAAAAAAGCGAGGGAGGTGGCCCAGGCCCAGGTCCCGCTGTAGCCTGCCAAGACAAAAGAATTCTGTGGGGCCTGCCTGGCCCTGGGCCCAGGGGACCTGGATGGCCCAGGTCCAGTGACAGTCACTCATCTGGGGAGCTCTACAGGGCCCTTCCTGTGGGCAATCTTTTTTTAAAGTGCTGTCATTCAAGTAATAACTACAGGTGACAAAAAAAAAAAAAAGAAAAGAGAAAAAGTTGAACGGTCCTCAGGTACAAAACTAAAGTCTTCCTTACCACACCTTTCTCCCAACTGCCCCTCAGATGCACTTCCCAGGAGAAAATCAAGGTTAAGTTTCTCTAGTGCTCTTCTAGTTTTTATACATATACAGACATACAAAACAATAACAACTGCTAACTTTTATGTAACATTTATTACAAACCAAGTACTGATGTAACACGCATTAATTAATTTAAACCTAAAAAAAACCCTCCAAAACATTAAAAAAAAACCCAAAACCCTGCAAAAACTGAGATTAAATCTTATTACAATTCCCATGTCATAGATGAGGAAACTGAAGCACAGAGAAGTTGAGTAACTTGCCCAAGGCCACCCAGCTAGTGGAGGGAGGGGTCAGGATCCAGACCCTGGTAATCCGGCTCCAGAGTGTACAAACAATCACACTACCCATGCTGTTTCACACCTTGGTTTTTCTCAGTCTGCCTTGGAGGTCTTTGCACATCAGCACGCACACATTTACTTCAATTATTTCTAATGGTGGCCTAGTATTTCACTGTTTCCATTTAACCAGCCCCCTTCTAGGACATGGTTAGGTTCTCTCTAGGTTTTTTGCCACTAGCTATGGTGCTACAACAATATCCTGGGACATCTACCTGACACAACTTTGGAGTCCTTCTACAGGCTAAATCCTGAGAAGTGGAGGACGAGGCTATTTGGCCATTTTCTGGCACCTCCAGGTGACAGGTGGTTTGGTGCAGGGAAGGTGTAGGCCTGGCAGACTTGGCCGTGCCCCTTAACAGCCTCATGACTAGCTGGTGCGCAGCACTTTAGCTTCTGGTTTATGAAACGGGCTACGACCGTCCCCATGGGGTGGAGGTAACAGTGGTGACACATGGAAGCACAGAACCCAGCATGGTGCACGGGGGAGAGCAGGCCGGCGGGACCCTCCAGTGGAGGGGAGGACAGACACACCCAGGTGGAGCCTCAGGGCCTAGAGGGCCTCCTTCCAAGCAAAATGCAAGTTGCCAATTGACACACCCATTTTCTTCTCAGCCTTACTTGGGAAAAGTGGAATTATCAAGAGGCTATTGCTATTAAATGGCCAAGTTCAACTGCGAGCGTTATCATAGAGACACAAAGCAGAATCTGGGTTCACAGGATGACCCCAGAGGAGGGGACTAGTAACCAAGGTCAGGAGTGGCGTAGACCTGCAGAAAGTAGATGACATCCTGTGAGAAGGAAACCAACTGCATGGAATGACAGCCAGAGGTGAGGAAATTAGGACAACACTTAGGCCCCACCTGAGGGGCCAGTACTCTTGGCCTGCCCTCGAAGCTCTGGGAGGAAAGGCAACAGCCTCGGCTAACACAGGCTGTGCTACCCAGCTCCGTGCTTCATAAAAACGGGAGGTGGTCTGCAGTATACCCAACGTGGAACTGCCGCCACCCCCAGAAAGCAGAACCCCTCTCCAGCTTCCAGATCTCTTCCTTTCCATGTGCACTGCAGGGCAGGTAGCCTGCCTGGAGGCCCTGGGACGCCCCTTCACCTCACCTCACCTGACCAGGTTGATGTGTGCTTTCTCCATGACCTTGAGCCAGGCCAGCAGGGGCTGTAAGTCATTCTCACTGGGAACATAATCATACAAGGCCTAGAGATGAAACAAGAAATAAGCAGGTGTCTGAGCACATGTGTTCAGCAGCAGCCCAGTGACAATGACCCCTACCACACACCTAGTCACCAGCCGGTCCCAGTGGCAGGCCTGCACAAGCAGCCCCAGAACTCAGAGCCCCCTTGCCTGGCCTTCCCAGCTCCATGAAGCCCCTCCAATTCTGCTTCTAGAGAAGAAAAGTCTCTAGAACAGTTGAGTGTCACGGGTCACACAACCCACTGTGAACCTGACAAAAGCCACAGAGCTATTCTCTGGAAAAAGGCACATGAGCACATAAACACATTTTGCAAACAATTTTTGGACTTTCTGCACCTTTCCCCAAGTCCATTCACAGATCCCTGAAGCTGAGAACCCCAGCTCAAAATACCATGAGACCACGCTGAAACCGTTTGTTCCGAGTCAGCTCCTCCAGCTTCTGTGGGTGCTGACATGGCTTTGGTGGCCAGTCTCCTGGCGGGCTGTCTACCAGTCTCCTGCAGCGGGGCAGCCTGGCCCAGCCCATTCAACCTCACTCTGCAACAGGCAGCAGGCCCGTCCCACCGCCCCCCACCAGGCCTCACCGTGATGATCTGGGCGTTGAGCTCTGCAGGCAGGGTAGCAGGGCCAGGCTTGGCATGGAAGAGGCTGTGAAAGGCCTGCATGGCACAGGCTGTCACCAGCTGGAGAGGACACACAGGCTTAGTGGGCAACCCGCAAAGCCCCAGGTTCCTCAACCTCCCACTCCCGCCAGTGGGCTGGGGGGGAACCCAGGCCCCTGAAACTCGGGCATGCTACCCACACCTGGACACTCCGAGCACGGTCACTTTTGGAAATCTTGGCAGCCAGTAAAAAATTTAAATGACTTAAGCAGAGACAATAAAGAAACATGACCAAAATGTTTTTAACATCAAGGGCTAAAAGATAAAAGAGTAGGCTACAAATGGCATGCATGCTGTATTTCCAGCTGCACTTCACGTTTTTACTATGTTAGTTTATGCAAGGAGAAAATGTCTAAAAGGACACACAGTGAGTTGGGGCACTGTTTATCTTAGGAAATGAGACTTGGAGAGAAATAAAAGACTTGTATCTTTTATGGTACATGTTTCTGAATGGTTCTTTCCTTTTAAATAAGGATCATGCAATTTTTATAGTAAATACTTTAAAACATGTGGATGAATAGACACTACAAACTTGGGACGGTTAACACACAATGTAACATATGTATGATGTATTATAGAACTGCACACCTGAAACCTACATAATTTTATTAACCAATGTTACCCTGACAACTTCAATAACAAAATATGGAAAAAAACCACTACAAGGGAATACATAAAAAGTAGCATAATCGAGCAAGGGTGGCAGAAATGTCGGAGATCAGTTTTTACTTTTATGTATCTTTAAGGTCGCCACACAGACATCAGTAAGTTAGGAAAAGAGAGAATAACTGTGACTCTGGTAGAGTAGAACCAGAGGCAGGGAGAAGACTGATGCTTCACCTGCCCCGCCACAGTCCCAACCTCCCTCTGCCCTGTCCTCTGAGAGGGCAGCTGGACCAGCACCTGCAGGACGGCCCAGCCTGGAAATGCTGGGAATGATGCCAGGGATAGGTGGCGTCTTGGCTGTAGCTAAGAGCAGGGTCAGGGCAGGGAGATACTCAGGACCTACTATGGTCTGACCAGGGAGTTCGCCAAAGCCAGCACCACGGGTCTAGGGTCTGCAGCTATATCCCCACCACCCTCTGTGTGCCCCTGCCTGCCGGCTCTAGAGCCTGAGCTCACCACATGGCTCAAGGTCATGACCCTGAGGAGAGTCTCACTGCAGCTCTTCACCAGCCCTTCCGGGAAGCAGGGCAGCAGGTCCTTCAGCAGTGTCAGCATGTGCAATGTGGTGGTGGCCTCCTTGGAGCCTGGCAGACAAAGGGTAGCAGAGACTCCATCCCACGCTCTGCAGCAGGCCCTGTCTTCCCCTGCCAGCCCCCTGCCCTCAGCCTGGCTCCCACCTCCAGACTTCTCAATCTCCTGAATGCAGAACTTGGCCGTGGAAATGGCAGCAGGGTGATGGGCAGGAGCCTTCTCACCAAACATGAATTCACTGCCCTTGATGACTGAGCACACTCCATGCTGGGCGGCCTTCCGGATCTGAGGGGCAAAGAAAGGGGGTCAGGGCAAGGTCAGCATTCAACCAGCAGCTCAGATGGTGGGCACAATGCTCCATCAACAAGTGGTGACCATACGCTCCCCACATGTCTGATGTTATACGTTGGGCTTCAAACGTATACACCCAAGCAATACATGCATATAGAGTGTATATGAGCTAGACAAACCCTGGCTCCAACTCCTGTGATCCTCCTAACTCATCCAACGGTCCTAAGCAAGCCAGAGAGCTTCATCTCTGAGCTTCCGTGTCCTCACCTTTACAACAGGCACCTGATCACTCAATCAGCAACAACACCGAATGCCCACCTAGCCAGCACTGTGGCAGTGAACAGGGCAAACAACTCATGTTCTACAAACAAACGTCCACCAGAAAATAAAAGTAGTTTGTAGACAATAAAATGAAGTTTTTTTATATGACAGTCAGTAAAGTGTCCCTCTGGTAAAGTGACATTTCAGCAGAGACCTGAAGAAAGTCTCTGAAGGGAAAAGCACGTGGGTACCCGGGGAAAGAGGCCTGAGCTGCCTGGGTGACAGTGCTCGACACAGAGGCGGTCACTGTGACTGTCGGTACTACTACCTGTTCCCTTGCCCTGACTTTCGGGAAGTTACGGCCGATCACCACTTGCTGAGCACATGCCACAAGCAGTTCCTGCGCCATACCCATGAGGAACACCTGAGTCTCCCTATAACCTCACAGCAAGGTTGATATTATTATCCCTCTTTTATGGCTGGAAAACCAAGGCTCAGAGAGTAAGTAACTTGCTCAAGGTCAGAGCATAAGCTGTGGGTCCATTATCCAACCCAGGCCTGTGTGACTCCAAAACCCTCTCCAGCTTCCTGCAATCCTCCTGCCACTGTACCTAACACGCCACTACCCAGTCAGGCAGCAGAGACCAGAGGGCCTGACAGGGAATGACTCTCCTGTAGGAGGAGCTGCCCTTGCCTTCTGGAGCCCAGCAGACGGGGCCTCAGTGGGAAGAAACGGAACCTCGGGGCAAGAGCCCAGAACTCTGGGCAAGCTGCCCACCCTACTCAGACCAGCCAGGCCAGCTGTGCCCTGCCTCCTGGAGTGGCAGGTCCATTCCCATATTCTGGCCCCCTGGCAGCCTCACCTTGGGCTTGGCATGCACGGTGAAGCTCAGCAGCCCATGGTACACCTGCAGGGTCACAGGGTAGCCCCAGGCCTCCAGGTCCTGCTTCCGCAGAAGGGTGGCCAGGCAGGAGAGAACCTTGAAGAGGAGAGTCAGAGTGTCTCAGTTCCGCCCTCTTCGGCCAGGCAGGGAAAAAGCCCAGCTTCTCACTGACTCCAGAAAATCCCAAAGGGGTCTCTCTGAGAGTCCAGAGGAGAAACTGAGAACCAACTACTAACCCATCGGAGGGCAGAGGTGGAGCCACTGCTGGCTTGGGCTGACAGGATGTCCATGAAGGCTTTGGAGGTATCTGAGAACTTCTTAATGAGCACGGGGCTGGGCACTCTGTGGGGAGAGAAGAGAAAGTCAGAACTCCAGAGGGGCCTCCGAGGGCAGACGGTGCAGCCCCAGCCCTGGTCTGAAGGAGGAAGCTGGACAGAGGGAGGCAGTGCTGGCCTGTCAACTCAGCAAGTTACCAACAGTCAGGACAAGAACTCACCCTTCCTGACACCCAGTATGTGAGCGCTCTGTGGCACCTGAGCTCCCTGCCTCCCTCACCTTCTCCACCACTCAACCCTGTACTATCCACAAGATGGGCCCTTATATACTCAGGCCAGTCCTCTCCCTGTCTTCCCCCTGCAGGTCCCCAGACAACCTGGTGCCAACATCCCACCCCATCCCTCCCGCCCCATGGGCTGCACCAGGGCTGCCCCTTCCCAGGCGCCAGCACTCACACTCTGTCCACAACCTCCCAAGCTACCCTCCTCCTCTTGCAGAATGCCACCCAATACTCCACTAACTTTTTGCCCTGATGCTATTCCTCCTGTCCACACTCCCCTTTCCTCTCCGCAAAGAGACTTGGGGTTCAGACAGAAGCCAGGACTCACCGCTTCAGGACGAGGTTCAGCAGGTAAGCCACAGCGGCCAGAGACTCCGAGGACTCCACCGCTTCCATGGTCGTCATCTGAAGGCCAAATCACAGGGTGTGAACAGGAAATGTGTCATGCTGAGCAAAGTGGGTGCTGGGGGACACCATGTGCCCAGCAGAATGATTATGACCAAGAAGGTGTCAAAGGTTCAAACCCCAGCATTGCCACTGTCTTTGGGCTAGTAACTTAACCTTTCTGCAACTCAGTTTCCTCCTTTGTAAAAGAGGGATAATAGTACTGACCTGTAAGTTATTGTGAGATTTAATTGAATTAATATATATGAAACTATTAGAATATTGTCTGGCACATGATAAAAACCCTGTATTGCCATATAATTTAGTTCATTATTCTAGAACAGAGAATGGCAAGCTCTTTCTGTAAAGGGCTGAATAATATTTCCAGCTTTGCAGGTTATTGACAGTCTCTGTTGCATATTCTTCTTTGCATATTTTAACAATCCTTTCAAAATAGAAAAACCAATTCGAGATCACAGACGGTATAAAAACAGGCCATGGGTGAGATTATGCCTTTGGGCAGTAGTTTGCTAACCCCATTCGAGAACAGTGGTTCTCAAACTTTTACACCCTTAATAATTATTGAGGATTCCCCAAAGAGGTTTTGTTTATGTAGGTTATATCTAATGATATTTACCATAACAAAATTTTAAAACACAAGAATACACAAGCACAATTCCATTAGCTCTCAAAATAATGTCATCAGACATCACATAACTCTGGAAAACTCCATGGTACACTCATGAGAGTGTGAAAGAAATAAATGATGTTCTAGTATTACTTTGGACATAATTTTGACCTGGCCAACTTCCCAGAAGGGTCTGGGGGACCCCAGACCACACTTTGATCTATGAAGCCTTAGTCATCTTCATAGATCAAGGGGAATAAATCCAGAGTAGTGGATTTTTGTTTTACAAGAATAATGCAGCAAATACCATCTGTCTTACCAAGCCACTGGAGAATGACTGAAGTACTTCCATGTGTTGGAGGCAGTCATTCACTCCCCACATGTTAGCACCTCCCCCACCGAGTCACGCCCACTCACCAGTGCTGCAAAGTACTCGGTCTCAGTCTCCTTCCCTCCCTGGGAGCGAATCACCTCTGTGACAGCAGCCAGAACAGCACAGATCTGTGTATGACAAATATTTTAGATCTAACCCCACCTAATAGTAGCTTTTTTTCCTTGCTCCTTCACAAATTAATTTTCTGAAAGCCCAGAGACTGACAAGATGAGCAGCATTCAGAGCCAGGGGTACAGACCACTAGGCCAAGGGCACAGGAAGCTCGGAACATGTTTGCTGCAATTCCACCCCTAGGATACTCTTCTAGAAATACCTGCACATAAGGGGAAGAGGAACAGCCATGAATAGAAAACTTATTTGAACAAATAATAAAGGAGAATCTCCCCAATCTGGCAAAGGAAATAGACTTCCAGGAAATCCAGGAAGCTCACAGAGTCCCAAAGAAGTTGGACCCAAGAAGGAACACACCAAGGCACATCATCATTACATTAGCCAAGATTAAAATGAAGGAGAGAATCCTAGAAGCAGCAAGAGCTAAGGGGACAGTCACCTACAAAGGAGTTCCCATCAGACTGTCAGCTGACTTATCAAAAGAGACCTTACAGACAAGAAGGGGCTGGAAAGAAGTATTCCAACTCATGAAATCCAAAGATCTACAACCAAGATTACTCTATCCAGCAAAACTTTCATTTAGAATGGAAGGGCAGATAAAGTGCTTCTCAGATAAGATCAAATTCAAGGAGTTCATCATCACCAAGCCCTTATTATATGAAATGTTAAAGGGACTTATCTAAGAAAAAGAAGATAAAAAAAGAACAGTGAAAGGACAGCAAACTCACAGTTATTAACAACCACACCTAAAACAAAAGCAAACTAAGAGGACAGCTAGATCAGGAGCAGAACCATAGAAATGAAGATCACATGGAGGGTTAGCAACAGGGGAGTGGGAGGAGAAGAAGGGGGAGAAGGTACAGAAAATAAATAGCATAGACAGTAGGTAGAAAATAGATAGGGGGGAGGGCAAGAATAGCAGGGGAAATGTAGAATCTAAAGAACTTGAGACACGTGGTCATAAACTAAAGGGGGGAAATGGTGGGGGAGGGGGTGTGCAGGGTGGAGGGGAATGAAGGGGGGAATAGAACTGTAATGGCACAATCAATAAAATATATTTAAAAAAAAAGAAATACCTGCACAAATGTGCAGGTGTTTATGTGTAAGTGTGTTCACCGCAGCAACAAACTGGAACAACCAAGCAGCTACCAACGGGGCTTTAATATTATACTCTTATTATTTACTAAATAATGATAGACTCAAATACTATGTAGCTACTGAAAACAATTAGGAACAACTATGTATATTAACAAAGAAATACTGTTCAGTGGGGGAAAAAGTTGCAGAACACTGTATATAAAATATAATCATGCTTCAGTAAACCTAAAAATGTAGATAAAAATACAAAAAAGTCTAGAACAGTAATGCTGACAAGAGGTTATTGTGCATCTAAACTGTGGCTAGTGTGACTGAGGAACTGAATCTTTAATTTTAAAATTGTAATCAATTAAATGTAGACACATGTACCTGATCCAGTTACTGGAAAATAGATTTAGAACAACTTGGATATATGAATCTACTTTTGCAACTGTAAGTTTTATGAACTCTAACTACAAATCAAGTATTTCTAATATAGATATAGCATCCAAATGGAGATGTTAAGGGTAAGATACACACTAGATTTTGACTAGTATGATAAAAGTAATGTAAACATCTCATTATTGTTTTGTAGTGAAAGGATATTTTGGATATAGTGGGTAAAGTAAAACATATTATTAGAACTAGGTACAGGTAAAGAGAAAAATGTTTGGAAAATATTTCTACTGTGAAGGACTTGACACTTGAGCATGGGAGATGCTGTTAGAAAAAGCAGGGAATGGAACCTGCCCTAGAAGAAGTAATAAGTAGGGGACACAAAGGGCAGGAGAGGTGACCCATCACCCAGACAGCAAGTAAATAAAAGATATGAGCCCATCCCCTCTTCACTATCCCATGCCCTCCTGACCCTCCCTGATACCTCCTTGTGGGCAGCCGAGTTAGACTCCCAGAAGCGCTGCACTTTGCTGAAGGTGACATTAGTGCAGTCGGAGAGGCCGCTTAGGAAGGTGGCTGAGGACTTCTCCGTGAGAGCCGGCGGCTCCTCTTCTTCCATGGCCGCCTCCCGGGCTTCACTTTTGCCCAGGCGAAAGGACCCAGATTGCAGCTCATTATGCAACTTCAGCGCATCAACTGTCAGGTCGCTCTTTCCTGCAAACCGGAGGCACAAGGTAAGACCCTCACTTCTACCCCTTTGGCCAAGAGAAAAAGAACCATCACTCGAAAACGAACCGGAGGAGTCCAGGCCCCCAACTCCAGAAGCTGAATTCTGAACGAGGTCTTCCTCATCGCGGGGAGTATGGATGGGAGGAATAGCATCAGGGAATTGTTAAAAGAACAAAGGTACTGTACACCTAGAACTTAGAAAACCCTCCAAGTAAAAGTTTCTGCTTCCCTGTCCTAATGAAAGAAACGCCGGTGGGAATCGTCTGGGGGCTACCCTCAAGGGGCATGGAAAATAAATGAAGGCAAAAGCGCTTTGAAAAGAGCCTCCGGTTAAGTGCAGCCCAGAGTCCCAACTCTGATATTCAGACAAGTCATTTCCCTACTGTAGTAGACTCAGTTTTCTTATCTGTTAAATGGGGCGGGTGGGGCTTTATAGCAGGCACCAGATCCGACGACGGTCTAAGAGATGAAAGGTCCAATGCCTGGGTCAGGGAAGCCCAGACCCATCCAGACCCAGGCCTGCCCAGAACCCAGGCGCCGACCGTGACCAATTCGCGACCCTACTACCTGAAGGCCGGCTGAAGAAGCGGCTGCGGGCGGCCTGGCGGTGGCGGCAGATGGCGGGATTGCTATCGCTGCTGTGGCCTTTCTTCCAGCGTTTCAACTTGGCGGAGACACCAGAGGGCAACTTCCCGGAGCGACCCATGCCGACTAAGCTTGAAGGACCCGCTGCCAGGGACAGGAAAAACTCCCGCAGAACTCACGTGGGTTCCCGGGTCGCTTCACTTCCTCTTCCTCTGAGGCCACTTCCGGATTTGCATCCGTTACCATGGCAAAACAGTCAACATCCGGGTTTTATGTTCCCTCAAGGCTCAAGATGCCTGAGGGGCTCCCAGAGATGCGCTGCTCCGGAGGACGAAGTGTTCCTAGGGAGACCCTTGGCTCTTACTGGAGAGTTGTACCGGAGTGTTAAGCTAGAGGTTCCCCCAACAAAAACCACGAAGTCCCCCACAAACCTGGCTTGGGGGATGGAAAAGCTTACCGTGCCTGAGCCAGAAGCATAAATCCCCGCCAGAGGCTGGAGCCCCCGCCACGTGTAGGAGATTCAGGGTGAGTATTCAAACTAAGCCCGGGCAGCCATTCACTCTTTCAGTCACGCGGGTTGAAAGGATGCAGTTTGGATTAAGAGGTTGAGAACACTGGGACACGGAAGATGGTGATGCTGGGAATTGCAGAACCTGCCTAGCCAAGCACGGATTACTGGGAGAAGAGGGTAATGCTGAACTGAGACGGAGGGAATGTTAAGCTGCGGGCTTCAATTTTGGGTTTTTGTTCGTTCGTTTTTTCTTGAAAGACAGTACCTCCTAACTGGCATATTCTGAAACCGGCCTGATTTGGCAAAAGGGAGGCAAGGAGCGCGTGTGCGTTCGTGAGTGTTTTAAGAGAGTGGGACTTAACGACAGAAGTCTGCCATTATTTTAAACTTGTATAACTGTTAAATAAAGTCCTTTCCTTTTCACTAAACTCTGGCATTGGGAGTCACGATTCTTGGCAGTGGGCAATCGGCCCCCACATCTATCTCAGAACTGCGTAACGTAGGCTGAGATTCTGTAACAGGGCCGCGGTTCTTGGCCACAGGAGGGAGCAGTATAAAACTGGAATTCCTTTACAGGTTAAAAAACAAACCTACATTTCTATTCTTTTTAAAGATCGAACTTCAAAATTTAAGCATAAAAACAAATTTATCTGAAAGGTCAAAACCTGGCCGAACCTGGCAGAGTAAAAATTAGTTTGGCTTGAAAAGAGGAAAAAACAGCGAATGATGCTCGAAACCTGCTTAGTTGTTTTAATTTATTACTGGCGATACCTAATTGCTGAGCAGTCCTTGCCTGATGAACAGCACTAAATCCACTCTTGTTAATCTCCCAGTTCCGCTTCAGAACCAGCAACCAATCCAGAATGCATTTCCAATCCCTTGCAACCCCCTCCAAAATCCTGTAGCCAGAACCCAAGCCTTACAAAAGAGCTGCCCTCCCCTCTCTTGAGGGGAATTGCCTCCTATGCTTCAAATCAATAAATCTGATTTTTTTCAGACCAAGGCTTGATCCTGGTGGGTTTTGATTGGTTAGGCTTTAGCATTCATTTTACAAATTTTTTAACTCCCATTAATTAGACACTTTGAAAGTCAATCTTCAAAATCACCGATTTTTAACTGGTGTGCCACAAGAGGAACAGTGCAAGAATTTTTAAAACATGTAATACCCCCTGACTATTTAGTCAGGGGCACTGACCTCTTTCCTTTTAGATTGTCAAATTAAAAAATGTCAACAGCCAATACAGCAATAGCCATCGGTGTGAATGAATCAAAGTTATAGCTACTTATGTTGTCAGAGGGGCAAAAAATATATATTTTTGGTATGCTTGCAGAATTTTAGTAATTAGTTTTTGTGTGCCACAAGACGAAAAAGTTTGAAAATCACTGTTTAAAATGAACTGGAAGTCAACCAAATTTTTGCATCCAGCTTCTTTCACTTGATACAACGTGAAATTTTTCCCTTGCTGTGATCTAAATGTTTGTGTCCTCCCCAAAATTTGTATGTTGAAATCCTGACTCCCCAGAATAATAGTATTAGGAGGTGGGGTCTTTGGGAGGTACTTAGGTTGTGAGATCGGACCTCTCATGAATGGAATTAGTGCCTAATTAGTGCCTACAAAAGAGAGTGCCCCGCGTGGCTGGTGTGGCTTGGTGGATTGAGCATCTGCTTATGAACCAAAAGTGGTTCAATTCCCAGTCAGGGCACATGCCTGGGTTGTGGGCTAGGTCCCCAGTTGAGGGCATGGGAGAGACAATTAAGTGATGTTTCACACATCAATGTTTCTCTCTCTCTCCTTCCCTTCCCCTCTCTAAAAACAAATAAGTAATTTTTTTCAAAAGTATTACCGAAAAAAATAAATAAATGAGACAGAGTCCAGAGAGATTCCTAACCCCTTCCACTATGTAAAAACACAGTGAAAAGGCACCAGCTATGAACCAGGAAACAGGCATTTACCATCCACTCTGACACCCTGATCTCAGACTTCCAGCTGTCAAAAACTGTAAGAAATAAATTTCTGTTGTTTATAAGCTACAAAAATGTCAACACTAAAGCTGCCCTACTTCAGGTACATCCTGGGAAGGCAAGGTTCTTTGGAAAAGACAAGGATACTGGGAAAATACAAGGCAGCAGGAGTAGAGGAAGACCAAATATGAGATTGATTGCCTCCATAAAAAGCCATAAGCACAAGACTACAGAAGCTGAGCAGGGCTGTTGGGGACAGGACATTGTGGACATCACTCGGTCGCAGAGTCACTAGGAGTCGGAGTCTGAGCCAACTCAATAGCACGTTAACACATTCATAACTGCCCAGCTGGTGGTGTTTTGTTACAGCAGCTTGAACAGAGCAAAAAATCCTGCAACAAAGTTCCTCACAACTGGTTGCAGTTGACTCTGGGGAACTTGTGAAGAACATACATTCCTAGCATCCTCTCCACAATGTAAACTCCACAGTGACGGGTTTTGTCTGTCACTTTCATTCTCAGCACCTGGAAAAGTGCCTGGCACATAGTAGGCACTCAACAAGTTACTGTTGAAAGAGTGAATGAATGAATGAATATATGTGTTGTGGAGACAAAAGGGACTAAAACAAGGGCACAGATTATAAAAATTAAAGAATAAATATAAATACCAATTATTGTAATTAGTCTTTATTTAACCAGACAGAGATAAGAGTTTCACTTCACAGTTTGAAACTGAAAGCTCAAAACATACATTTCTGAGGGAGTTAAGAGGTACCAAAAATGAGTTTCCATCCAAGAATCAAGGATCTGGGAATGGAGAGTAAAGGGAAGAATGGAGTGAAATTCACAAAACTACAGTATTGAACTTCACCTAAGTAGAATCAGTGATACTGGAAGCAGACACCTGAGGGGTCATCTAGATCCTGGACCACATGCTGGTCAGTATTTTCATTGTTCTGCAGTAAAATAAGTTCAATATAAAGATGCTGGTGTTCAAATGCCTGTTCTTCCATCAAGCAAAAGTGAAAATAAGTGGCAGGGTTTTATCAGACACTATCATTTGCCAGAATAAAGAGTTGGCAACCTTTTGTCAGTCATCTCCTTTTAAAAACAAGTTTACTAATACAGGAAACCTTAGAATATCTGTAAACCAAATATTTATTTGAATGTCTGAACCAACTGTTCATTTTGCCAAGTCCAGAAAAGGTGAAGTGATTTTCCCAAGTTCCCACAGCTTGGTGGTGTATTCAGTGAGATACAGAAAGTGCTAACCGTGAAGGAGAAGAAGGGTGCACTGGAATACATTAAGCGTAAGAGGTTCTGCTCATGGAACGACACCACAAAGAACATTTAAAAAGGAGCCAAAGAGTGGGAGAAGATATTTGCAGTACATATTACTAACGAAGTACATCAGAATATATTTTAAAACTCCTACAGATCAATAAGAACAAGGCAGACAATCTCATAAAAAGAATGGGTAGGAGACAGGAACAGGCACTTCACAAAACTGGGTATCTGTATGGTCAATACACGTGAAAGGATGTTCAATGTCATTAACCATCAGGGAAATGCAAATTAAAACAACAATGAAATGCCACTGCACACCCACCAGAACAGCTAAAATGGCTAAAATTAAAAAGACCAGCAATGTTTTTCTGGCGGGCAGCTCAGTTAATTAGAGCAATATGCTAAGGTTGCAGGTGTGATCCCCGGTCAGGGCACATAGGAATACATAAGTAAGTGGAACAACAAATCAGTGTTTTGCTAACTCTCTCTCATCCTCTCTCTCAAATCAATTAAGAAAAAAAAAAGACTAGCAATGCTAGGGGGTGTGGAACAACGGGCCATATAGTAGTACATATAGCCCATAGGAGTACAAACTGATACAACCACTTTGAAAAACTGAGAGGCAGTATCTCTTAAAACTGAAAACACTAATTATACTCCATAATGCAGCAATTCACTGCTGGGTATATACTCAACAGAGATGTATACTTACATGCATGAAAGACACATATGGTGATCTTTATAATAGCCAAATACTAGAAAGGACCCAAATATCCATCAACAGTAGAATGGATAAGTAAGTTACGGCGTGCGGGTAGAATGGAGTATTACAGTATTCAGCTGTATGCAGCAACGAGAGTGAGCCAACAACTGCTAATGCCACGGCAGGTGCGGTCTAAGTTGAATGACTCCAAACACAGAAAAGTACATATTGCGTGATTCTGCTTAGATGAAGTTCAAAACCAGGCATAACTAATCTACAGTATAAGAAGTCAGGCTAGCATTCACCATGTGGTAAGATTCTAATTTTTTTATTTATCAGGAGGGAGTTTACAGGGATGTATTCACTGTATGATAATTCACTGAGCTCTGCACTCCTAATTTGTGTACTTTTTGGCTTACTAAAACTAAGTGGTCCTCACACAGAGCAGAGGGAGCATCAAGATGGTGAGAAAGGGTCACTGCAGAGAAGACAGCCAAGCAAGCGCTGACACAGAACCCTGCACCCTGGCCACAGGAGTCAATGCCTCCACCTTGTGGCGGGCCCCCACTCCTGGGACACAGGCTGAGACCGGGGCAGTAAGGCAGAAAAAGGGAACTGGTGGCCTGTGGAGGAAGAGGAGGCCCAGTTTGGAAACTGTTGTAAGCAAGCTGGTATTCATGACCAGAGGTCTAGTTATGAGGAGAGTTTACTCAAAGTATTGGGTTCGCATT